ATACCAGCTCCCCAGCGATCAAAGAGGTCCCGACTGATCCAAGATCGATGCGCGACTCTTCCCATGGATCAGGGCAGTAGATCCCCAGGGCACCTGGGTTGCTGTGTAGGTCCCCAGGTGGACTGAGGACCTACAAGGGATCCAGGAGGGTCAGCAATGGAGTAGAGCACCATGGAGCTCGGACACCACAGGTTCCCCCAGGATTTGGGATCAACAGGTAGATCCCAATGCAGATGAGGGCCAGGAGATCCCAGAGGATCTGGGCTTGAGAAGTGTATCCCTCCATGGATGGCAGAGAGCAGATCCCCAGGGCTCTGTGGTCAACAGCCGGACCTCCACAAGGATTGAGACGGGATCTCCAGGGATCATAGGGCGGTCCCTGCGTGGATCTGAGAGCTGGCCTGGTCCATGGGGTTTGAAGATCCCAGGAAAAAAAACCCAGCAAATCCTGAGGATCCAGTAGCAACCAAGGACGGGAAAACCTGGGTGGCAGCAACTCCCTCGGAGGAAGGATCAGTGGATCCCCAAAGACACCAAAAGAACCCAAGGGAGAGACGTGGACTGCGGTCAAGTGGCTCCCAAAGCTCCAGCAGTGGCCAAGGACCTCTGGGTTGGAGAAGAACTGGATCAGGGCGGGGCAGCAGATAGATCCCAGAGTGATCACTCAAGGAATCTAGTGACACCAGAGGATACCCCCCAAGGAATCAGGAGGGGTGGAAGCAATTCCACCCCCATCCTGGGACAAGGAAGCAGTAGATCCTATGGGAGATGAGTAGTTCCTGTGAGACATCATCAGACCCCAAAGATCTGGTGGCTCTGGGTGATCCCTGAAGATCCCCGAGATCCTCCACAATGCCACGGGGCAGTAACCCCCAAGCAAGGCGGATCGCAGGGGAGAGCAGTAGATCCCGGGGGATCTAGCAGTGCCAGAGGAGCCCAGCGGGGACAACGGAGCAGCGACCCTCAGGGACGGGAAATCAGTGGAGCCCGGGGAGGTGACCGGGGCAGCTGATCCCAGGCTGCCCAGCGGATCCCAGGCATACCTGGGGACCTCCTGGAGGGCGGGGAGGTGACAGTCGAGGTGGTAGCAGCGCTCGCAACGGTCACACATCACCACGGCACCGGCCTGACAGCAGACGCGGCAACAGGAGACCCCGGGACCGGAGGGGGCTCCCGGGGGGACAGATCCCAGCCCCAACGAGGATCCGGGGTGTCCCAGCACCCCGGGGTGCTCGGGAAGCAGCCCCACCGGCTTGGTGTCCTGGGTGTCCCTGATGGCTGCCTCCTGCTGCTCCTCCTGCCAGGGGGGAGAGAGGGGTGAGACAGACAGAGAGGGAGGGAGGCGGGGACGGGCAGAGGGACACCCACCTTGACGGTGAGGGGGATGGGGGGCCGCGGTTGCGCCCCCCGCTCGATGACAATGAGGCTGAAGTCCTCGGCCGAGGTGCCGGGGAAGACACGGAAGACGGGGGGCTGCGCCGCCCCTGACAGATCCAGGTCCAGCCGCTCCAGGCTGACCCGCGGCACCTTGCGGAGGAGGGCGCTCACCGGGCCCCCGGGGGGGCGGCTCCTGGGGGGCATGGGGGGCTCAGGATTTTGGGGGAACCCCCCCCAACCCTCCTGGGGAGATTCCCTTGGGGCTTGGGGTGCTGGCTGCCCCTGGTCCCTTCAGGACGGGGGTGCCAACAGGGAGGGCCCCCAGTCACCCTGCAGCAGAAAGGGGACAAGGGACAGAGGGGACCCCAGCCACCCCCTGGCACAGGGGAACAAAACGGGGGGACCCCAGAAACAGTGATAAGGCTCAGGGGAGCATTGGGTACAGGGGGGGTCCTGGTCACCCCCTGGCACACCGGGACACAGCCACTCCCTGGTGCAGGGGACAAGAAGGGGAGGACCCCAGGAACAGAGTGACAGGGGACAGGGACATCCCAGACAAGGGACCCTCAGGAAGGGGGTGACAAGGGATGAGATGGGGGGGGGGCTTGTAGTTGCCCCTGGACAGAGGTGACAAGGGTCAGGGGAGCATTGTGTACAGGGTGACAAAGGACACAGAGGTCCCAGTAACCCCTGGGGACAAGGGCAAGGGCTGTCCTGGTTGTCCCCTGGCACAAGAGACAGGGTCACCCCAGGCCCGGGGCCCCACCTTCCACCCCCTCAACTCACTGTTGGAATGGAGGTACCTTAAATCCCCACCCCACCCACCCCCGAGCCTCTGTCATTACCGCTTAATGAGCAGCTTCTTAACGAACTTCTCCTCTTCCCCAGAAGAATTAAGGTGTTTTCTCCTGTATAACGAGGTTGTCAGGGCACCTTGAGGGGGCCCAAGCAGCCCCCCAAGCCCCAAAATTGTGTTCCTCCCAGCTGGGAGACCTCCTGGGATGGAGTCCCACTAGCCAGGGACAATGACGGGGACACGGTGGCCCTGTCCCATCCTCCATGCCTGGGTATGGAGTCACAGGGGACATGGGGGACTGCGGCCACCTCTGGGTATGAGGTGACAAGGGGCGGGGGGACCCTGGGTATGGGGTGAGAGGGTGTCCCTGCCACCCCCTGGACATGGACCAACACGGGACAGGGTCCCTGGTGTGGGGTGACAAGGAAAGGAGGTCCCACATAGGGGTGACAAGGGACGGTGCTGTCTAAGCCACCCCCAGGCACACTGTGACAGGGGTCCCGGGTACGGGGTGACACAGGATAACTCATGGGGGGGCTCAAAGCCACCCCCCAAGGCACAGGGTGACAAGGGCCAGCAGATCCCCGGGGACAAGGGACAGGGGGTCCCGCCACACTCACCTCTTCACTCCTCTGAGAGCAGCTTCAGGGGGGCCATTGGCTGCGGAGAAAAACCCACATCAGGGACCTTCCTCCCTCATCCTCCTCCCTCCCCCCCAGGCCCCCTCGTGTCACCCCACCACTCACCGAGCTCAGCGCCCGCAGCCGTGTCCCCGGGGCTCTCGGCCATCTGCGGGTAAAGGGTGGGCGGGGACTGGTCGGGGCAGCCCAGCCCCTCAGACC